AAACCGGTTGTTCCTGAAATGCAGAGCATCAATAGCGCAGTGCAGTGATTGCACTGCATTAGGTGAAGTGTCCGTCAGGGTAGGGGAAAGGGATGGTGTGCATGTGCTGTTCAGGGAGACGGGTCTCATGCCACGGGCAGTGGGCTGGACCGCAGGATGCCTGGGCTCTGTCCCATCTGCAGGGCAATCTTGAGTGAGTCGCTTCATGACCCTGTGCCTCAGTTTTCCCTTGTGTAAAGCAGGGATAATGGCAGTGCCCTGCTTTTTAATGGGCTTTGAGGTGTGCTGATGAGCAAGGCTCAATGGAAGCCAGGTGCAGGTGCTGTTCAGGAGCCTGAGGCTGTGCCCACCCCACCCCAACACACACTTTAACCACCAAAGCTGCTAGATATGCTTTGTGGGTGACAGTGGAGCAGTGAGCCAGAGGGCTGGGCCTCTGCTCCATTGCCAGCTGCAGTGTTGGGCCCCAGTCTGAGCCCAGCCTGCTGTAAAGAAATGGCCTGCCTACTGGTCTTGGGGACAGGCACGCACCAGGGGCTCAGCATGGGGCTGGCGTCTGGTTTGGGACTTCCAGGGACAGAGTACCATACACAGCAAGTGAGAAATGTATCTGGATCGACTTGGTGTGAGCAAGCGGGGCCGACAGATAGCCCACAAGGTGCATGTTTTCCCCGCAGGGCAGGGGCAAGCTGGGTAGTAGCAAGGCTCTGCTAATGTGGTCCTTACCAGAGAGCAAGTGGTCTTCAAGGCCAAACCATCCCTTCAGCTCTGCCACGGGGAGTGTGGGCATGCTGCAGACAGTGACCAGACTAGTGACTTCTACCAGCCCCTCTTCTGGTAAGACCCCTCCCTCCTGGGCTGTATTAGCAAAAGCCTCCATCTCCATGTATCACCCCCCATCCCGATGCATGCCCCCAAAACATCCCAGCAGCTCCCTGCCCACAGCCGATGCATGTCTGTGATCCCCCATGTCCCTGGTGGCAGTGATTGCCATCTGGTTCCTGTGGGTACAATGGGGGCAGGAACCTGTGAGGTGACAAGCGACTGCAATGGCAGCTTTGCCTGAGTGAAGACTGAAGGACTGGGCCCTGCTGTGCTTTGCGTATGGAGTGAACTCAAGAGGGTAACAAGTTCCCCATCCCACCCCATAGCATGGGTGGTCTGTAGCCCAACAGCTGGGGCTGCCGAGACGGACCAGCCTCCGTGGGAAAGAGGGAGAGGGTGGTGGGCACCCATTTGGATTTGGAGGTCCAGTCCCTGCCCTTTCGGAGAGGCAGCCTTCCCCCAACATGCTGGTGGGGGGGAGCTGGGACTGCCAAACAAACCCCATAGATATTTGCCCCATCCTCTCCCCTGCTGCCAGAACAGACTCCAAGGGATACATGATGCGACTCTGTTTTATTTTAATTTTGCTGCTTCTGTCTCTGAACTCATTCATTGCAGCACCGCTCCTGGGGCAGCACGGAGGGGGGGTGCAAGCAATGGTCTGGGGTGTCCTTTCCATGGACTGTGCGACGGGGCAATGGCCTGCGGATTTGGGGTGGGAGAGGGGAGAAAGAGAGCCTCTGTCAGGGCAGGTGAGAGGGAAGAGGAGTTCAGCTTCACCCAATGTCAGAGGGGCCTGGTTATGTCCTCCCTGGGGTCTGGAGCAGGCCCTGTGTCAGTCCTGGGTGTGCATGAGATCTTGTCTTATGGCCTGGGTACACTTTGCCCCTTCGGACATGCGGGAGATGAAGCCCCGTGACCACAGCAGTGTGAGACCCACATGCATCTCCCATCGCCATAGTTGCAACCACCTGGGCACACTGCTGTCAGTCCCAGGGGCAGGGCTTTGCAAGATGCTCTCTCCAAATGGAGGGAGGTGTCCATCAGCCTCTGCTTGGTTGCTTGTAGGGTCCAGTTCCAGATGCACTGTGACCCGCCCAGCTTTCCCTTGCGGATGTCTCTCCGTGGGGTCAGCAGCGGGGGTAGCTCAGTGCTAACTGCACTCATTGCCTTTCAGAGCGGTACCCATGGAGCAGGCTGGTGGGGAGAGAATCCTCCTGGCTGGACAGCAGCCGTTCAGGGCCTCCTCTCCGTGGTGCTGCAGGGATTGTCCCCACTGGGTCCAAGCCAGCGGAGGAGAGAGCCCTGCATGGGGCAGGGGGAGCAAAGGGAGGGGACTGGATGCAGTTTTACCATCATCCTTCTCAACCTCTGTCTCCTGCGGGAGGGTCCTGTCACTGGGATCTTCTGGCAGAAGAGCAGATGTAGGGAGACCTTCCCCTGGATGCTGGGGAGAAAGGAAGGGACAGCATGAAAGCCTTGGTCTGGCTGCTGAGGGGACAGAGAGGAGCTTAGGGAAAGCAGCTGTTCAGTTCCTACCTGATTTTTTTGTAGGGAGTCGTGGTTGGAAAGCTCAGGGAGCAGCATAGATGTGGAGGTGGCCGGAGGCAGGGGCAAGCAAAAGATGCGGGAGAAGATCATGTGTTAAGCAGCTACCGTTGTTGACCAATGACTTCCCTATCGTGGCAGGGGCAGGGCATTGGCCCTTGTCTCCTCTGCTCTTACATCCGAGGGTGTTGTTGGTGTTTTGGGTGTTGTGCCTGGCAGCTGGGTGTGAGGGTCTGAGGTGGTGACTGGGGGGTGCTCCTGGGACCTGTGAGTAGGTGTGAAGTAGTGAATGGCAAGTGTGCGTGGGGGGATGGATGCCTGATGTGGTAGGGGGCTGGGGACAGCTGTGCCGGGGAGGGGAGGGGAGTGGATGTTTTGTGGGGTGTGAGTAAGAAGTATAGCTGGTGGGGAGGGGGACAGTGCGTCAGCCAGCACCGTGCAGCCCATCTGTGCGTATGTGGCTTGCTCAGAGCGGTATCAGCAGACAGAAGCTTCTTTCATTGCTGTGGCTCATTAGTCTTCAGAAAGACCAAAAGAGAGCACGAGGATGGGCTGAGCCAGGCGGAGGCCACCCTGCATTGCACAAGGCCCAGCAGCTGCCCTGCCAAGATGTGCTGCGCAGGCCTGGGGTGGGATGCAAGCTCGGTGCTGCATGGGAGTGTGTGGTTTGGGACCAGGAGGGCTGCAAAGGCAGCAGCAACCTCCTCGCGGGCACTGCTCCGGAGGGGCTTGCCTCCAGCCTTCCTTGGCGGGCAGGGGACGTGCACTGACATAAATAGGCCCCGTCTTGACCGTGAGCTAACTGCAGCAGCGCACGCAGCCACACCTGCAGTGCCATGAACGGATCAGAGGGAGTGCAGCCATGTCTGCATAATGCCAGGACTGAGCTAATTAGCCTCAATGTGCATTGATTAGCCCACCTTTTGCACCAGCCCCCTGGGAGCTGTCTAGCACCTACTGGTGTTAGCTGAAGGAGGAGCTGGCATGAGCGTTCCCTTTAACATCATTAATGAACCTGTGCAAAACTCTGGGTCTCCTGACCCTGAGATGGTACCTTTTATCAGACCAACTAAGATATCACAAAAAAATACATTTTTTTGCAATTTCTTAGTTGATCTAATAAAAGGTATCATCTCTGAACCAAGAGTTTTAGAGGTTTACATTTCTTTTTGTCTCGGACCAAGGCGGCTACCAAATACATCCCTTAATGAAGCTGCATGTTAAAGCTGCAGTCATTAACTAGTCCTCCTAGCATCCCCTCTGCCTTGGGAACCCAGGGTCTCTGCTTACAGAGGTGCCTTGTGTGCATTAGGTGCATTTCTCCCAGACTTCCCACCATTGCTACCACCAGCCAGCTGTGAGAGCACTAGTGCAGACAGCCTCCAAGCCTCCCCGCCATTTTAGCCACTGCCACCGAGACTTGCTGTGAGCGGGCCGAATCAGTGCGACCTGTAAAATCTGGCGGCCTGTCTACACTGCAGCTTGCTGTGACCGTTGCAATGGTGACGATGTGGACAAGGCCTTTGAGTTGCAACCTGTCTGGTTTTTCAGAGCCCTGTCACACAGCAGGGTTTACTCTGCCCTTGGCATGTAGGATTTGGACTTCCACAGCCCGTGTCTAATTTGGAGCGGTCACAGTTTTATAAATCGGCACGCAGCTCCCGGCCTATGATTGAGATCAAAACTGCTCATCTAAAATGATGTGAAAGCTGGTCCAGCTCAGTCCAGAGCCCCAGTTTTACATGCTAATTATTTTCTTAATACACCTCAAAAAAAGCAAACCCCAAAAACCCTCAGTAACTTGCACTAGACCCTCAGAGCCCTTTGCAGAAGTCTGGACTTGAACAATTTTGGGTTGGTATAAAGAGAAGCTGATAAACTGGTTCCCCTTATGGTCAAGGAGCTCCCTCTATGCTGGGAGCTATCATTTGAGTCTTTCTTTTCATCCCCATTTTCATGTACTAGCGTGGTGTATGCTCTAAGCACACTCAGATGTTCAGCAGATGGGTGTTTGATTGACATGTAAATTGCTTAGAAAACATGAATGGAATTAACTCATTCTAGGAGGAAAAAAGCGGCATCTGCATTTTCAATTCGATTACTTTAGATCTAAATGTACTCTCTTAATGTGGAGGAACAGCAGTTGCTAAGTATTAAGCAATCCTTGAAGCTGGCCCTGGTTGCCAGAACATTGAGGCATCATCCTTCTGCTATGTCTTTCCTTTCCTTTCCCTAGATGCACTAGCTCAGAAAAAAGGATGCTCAGCTTAGACCTGGAAGAAGCCAGAGGTATTACTGGCACAGTCTCCTACACATGTAATGACTTTCCCAGCACCACAGCAGGCAGCGTGAATACAGCTCGGGGTCTGCTGCTGCTCCAAACCACGGGCTGCTTCTATTGTGTTACCAAGCAGTGACTTGGTTTGCTAGCAGCAGTAGTAGGTTCTGATCCCCTGTGTTGATGGGCCACTGGAAGGGGATCAAGTGGTCACGGGGTGATTGATCTAAGCTAATATCTGGGCAGATGCCTGCCATTGTACAGGTACCACCGGTGGTCAGAGAAGACACACAAACTTTGCCCATGCAACAGAAAGGAGCTTCCTCCCCCCAGTTCACATCTACTCACCTCACAAGGAGCAAGCATCCTCCCTGGGGACCCCTTTGATCTGAGCGACTGCTACTGCCTCAGTGTAGGCATGGCTTCCCGAGGACACAGACCGCCAGGAGGAACTTCTCTTGGACTTCCACCGGGACAGGTGGCTGCCATCTCTCTGGCGGCTCCGTAAATACTCTTTGTAGTTCTTGGAGAGCAGCGTGTACAGGAAAGGGTTAATGCAGCTGTTGCTGTAAGCCAGGCAAGTCACGACAAAATTGATGTAGACCACAGTATTGCTGGGGAGGTCCGCCAGCTGGTAGTAATAGATGCTGAGCAGCTGCCAGAGCCAGAAGGGTATGAAGCAAGCCCAATAGGTGAGAACGATGCTGAAGATCAGGTACAGCACTTTCTGCTTGGGGCATCTATTCATTTTCTTGAAGGTAAAAACTGCTGTCTGAGACTTCCAGTAAGTCCTGGCCAGCTTGACATATAAGTAGCAGATGATGAGGCCTGGAGCCAGGATGCAGGTGTTAAACAGGACGGTGAGGTACACCTTGTAGGTCTCCATCTGCCACGTGGGGTGACAGATGCGCTTGGTCACGCCATTCTGTTTGCTAGTCCTGAGGTCTATGAGGATCATGGTTGGAAGAGAAAGGAGGAAAGACACCAGCCATACCAGGCAGGTGATCGGTCTCCGATAGACACTGGACCTTCTGATGGTGTCTAAGGGCTTGGCTACTGCGAGGTACCTCTCGGTGCTCATGATGGTGAGGATGAAGATGCTGGCATGCATAGTGAGGAGATCCAGACTGAAGAGGACCCTGCATCCGATATCTCCAAAGTACCAGTCCTTCATGAAATAGGTGCAGACCACAAAGGGGATGGTAGACAGGTACAGGAGATCCGCCAGGGCCAGGTTAACAATGTAAATGTACATCGAGCCTGTGAACTTCAGGGAAAGGTTTGTGACCACCAGCGTGTAGATGTTGCCGACGATGCCCACCAGACACATCACAGCCAGGATGCAGCTCAGGATGGAGGTGACCAATAGGTCGCTGGTGTCACCCAGGACCTCAAAAGTTGCATTGGTCTGAACAGTTGTGTTCCTGGGGTGGCAGAGGGCAGATGTGCATTGGTTTTGCTCCATTTCTTGTTCTTGGGTCCCGGGGTGATCCAGTCAGCAGGCAAGCGTGGGTGGTTCCAGCCGGAAAGTCCAAATTATAGATGGTCTTAGCATCGAAGCTGGTGTATTGAAGGGCTGTCGTCAGACGTACAGCGAGGCTCCGCATGGCTGAGCTGATGGGGCTGCATTAGACGTGGGGAGTCCTTGTTGGCGTAAGAGCCTCAGCCTGAGTTTTAACCCATGCCAGCACCTGCAGACGTCCAGCCTCAGAGCAGCTCTCTGCTCTGTTCTCTGTCCCCCAGGCAGAAAACAACTTGAAAGGACTCCCAAGGCAAGGGGGGATACGAGACCACTACTTGCAAACGTCCAGAGGCTTGTGCCTCCAAAGCAGACACGAGCAGTAGCAGGCAGGTAGATGGGGAAGCGATTGATTTGCTGGAAATAATCCTCATGCTGCTGCCTAGCCTGTTGATTTTCCTCCCGTGAAAATTCAAGCAGTATTTGCTCTGACTCCCTTCCTTAAACGGTCCTGGTGACTCGGGCGGGTTTTGCGTCTTCGGTGACTGACTCATAGATGTGAGCGAGACCGGCTGCTCTCCAGACCTGTCCCAAGTTCTGTTCCACGTGAGATTACAGAGAGCCGATGCTGGGAGCACTGGGCAGGAGATGCCGACATCCTTGGAGAGAGACGGTGAGAGAAACACGCGAGGGCAATCCACTCTCCTCGCAGATGCTGGAGTGTAAATCGGTCGCAACCGCGCTTGAGCGCCAGGGCAAATCTGAGCTGCTGCTTGAATAATACAACCCGAGCACTGTGGGGTCCATGGCTGTCCCAAGGATGGCGTCAGGGATGAGTGGAGAACTAGGAGGATCCTGGCTCGCTCCTCTCTCTCCCCACGCTGGAAAATCCATTCACTTTCCACAAGTCTCAGCCAAGGGAGGGTGGGATCAGATGGCTGACAGCCCCACAGAGGTGGGATTTGTCTCTCTTTCCCCTATAAGGAAGAGCTAGTAAAACCAGCGTCAGCACGTCTGCCCATCGCGGCTGGGGCACTCACCTGGTGCCCCTAAGCTGTCACGCTTAGCAACACGGTGAGCTGGGAATCTGCCTCTTCCTGTACTTTTCAGCACAGAGCCCATGAGAGCTTTGGCTTTTCTGCTTTCTAAGCTGTTATGCTGTATCGAACGCTTTTTGGGGAGCCAGCTTTGTGCTTCGACGGGGGGGCTGCAAAGAGGGGCTGAAAGGCCGATTCTGTCTGAGGAGCACGGCCTCCCCCTCCAGGTTGGGTTTGGTTACAGGACTAGTTTTAAACCTACCCCATCTTTACTTCTCTCAAGACAACGAGGTTGTGAAACGGCATCCAGAGAGCACAATCTAGGAAGAGGGAGCGGAGAGCATGAAAAGAGACATGGGGGGGGGGGGGGATATAAAATCAGGGGAACTTGAGCAGCGCGGTCCTGGCTGATAGTGGAAGGAAGATTACCATCCTTTAGATTTCGACAGTGCCCTTGATTATCAAAAGGTAGCCGAACCTAATGATGTAAAGTCCCTGCCCTTTTGCAATGCAGCCACCTCTGGGGTGGAACACCTCAGCTGTTTAGCAGTACCTAGCAACCCTGCATAATGGTTTAGGAGAGAAAAACAAGAAGAATGCTGTATGTAATTGCAGCACTTGGCTCCTAATTATCCCAGTTTGTATTTTGGCAGGATGGTGGGGAAACTGGATTGAGGAGGCTGGCTGGTGCATCCTGGAGTATTTTACTCTCCTCTGTGAGCCATTTACTCGCCTTGGTGAGCCATTCATCGTGAAGAGAAACCCTGCTGCAGCAATTGGTTGCAGGTGAAGACAGTGTCATTGTTATTCTGTCCTGGCAGCAGTGCTAAGAAGGGCTGCGTGCACTGGGAAAAGGAAGAGGCGAGATCTGCATTTCTCCCACACAGGTTTATTGTGGGCTGAACAGTATTTTAGTTCTTGGGCTCTCTTAGCCCTAGAAGCCAAGACCAACTGTGCTGTGACCCCTGTATCACCAGGTCCCTACCTCCGGTTACCATATCACAAGTCCCTACAGGGCAAGTTTCTTGGCTGGGTGTGGGGAAAAAAACTCCGGAAATTCAAACCACAATTCAGAAATACCCAGCAGCAGGCAGGGTTTCCAAGACATTGTGGGTGTTGATTAAAACCGTGATGCCACTTAAAAGACTGCCAGTAATACTGGTGCTGATAGAGCTCTGTAATTAATGCGTATGAAGTGAAAGTAATTTTTATTTGACGTTTCACTTTTACATTTAAATGACATTTTCCAACAGACCAATTCTAGCCTGACTAGCCCCTGGGCTGGCTACACTCAGGGCACAGAGCTGCTGAGTAGGATGGCCTAGCTTGGCAGTCGCTTCTCAGTCAATCTGCACCTTAAGGGTATGAATTTGTGTCTGAAGCAGGTAGGTTTCCACCAGCCACCCTAAAGGCAACCATGGTTTCTGGCCATGACTCCAACTCCAGAAACCTTTGGGACTGCAAGGGACACCAGGCAGTGTTTAGGCCAGGGGTGGGCAATTATTTTGGGTGGAGGGCTGCTTACTGAGTTACGGCAAGCCATTGAGGGCCGCATGACAGGCAGCCAGGGGCAGATAAATATTAATTTTCTAAATTTTTAGGGGCCCCGCAGGCTGGATAGAATGGCCTGGCAGGCTGCATCCGGCCCGTGGGCCACATTTTGCCCACCCCTGGTTTAGGCGCTGGTGGGGCTTTGACGGGTGCTGGGAAGTGGTGGCAAGGGCAGCAGAAGTGTTGAGGACTGCAGGTGCTGGGTGATGCTAATGGTTTTGGAAGGGGAAGAGAGGTGCTGGGGGCCGGGGTGGCTGTGGGCATGTTTCCTATCTCCAGCCAACACAGCTGGGCATCCAGAGCCATACTGTTTCAACAGGCTGCAGCACCAGTCTCATTGTGACTGGATGCACCACTTCCCCTGCACACTGCTGCAGCATAAGCTCATGCCCAGGGACTAGATGCTAATGACCAGCACTTGCCACCTAGAAGTAGCCCATCAGTTCAGCATCTGCCTTTGTCCTGCCAGACTCAGGCAAAGACTAATGCAGCCTTTGTCGCAGCAAATGCCTGGCTCCGTCTCCTAGGTAGGTCGCTCTTGCCTGAAGCCTGTTACAGAGCAGTGCTCTGATTTGAGGCAGTGCTCGTTACACAGAACGCTGCCTCTGGCTTAGCTGTGCTTTCCAGAGCTCTGCAAAGGGGAGTGCAGCAGAGCCCCAGGGCTCAGATGCTTGTTTCCTTCCCCTCGGAAGGGTCTTCACTGCTCTTAGCTGCAGGGAGGCACTCAGATGGGGGGGTACGGCCAGCTGGAACATCTCCCCAGTGCACGAGTGCACTCCTTGACCATGTAATATTCAGATTGTAGAAGCCCTGTCCCATGCTCTGTCATTGCACTGCCCGAGGCAACGAACCAAGGACCAAGCACTCTGCCACTCTGATCCTTGGCCAGATCCCAAAAAGTGCTTAGGTACCCAAGGAAGCTCTTATGGAAGGAAAGGCTTATTTAGTCTGGAGAAGAAAAGACTGCGAGGCGATTTAATAGCTGCCTTCAACTGCTTTGAAGGGGGTTTCCAAAGAGGCTGGAGCTGGACTGTTCTCAGTGGGGACAGATGACAGGACAAGGAGCAATGGGCTCCAGTTGCAGCAAGGGAAGTTTAGATTAGATATTAGGAAAAACTTTCTCACTAGGAGAGTGGTGAAGCACTGGAGCAGGTTACTCAGAGAGGTGGTAGGATCTGCATCCTTGGATGTTTTTAAGGCCTGGCTGGACAAAGCCTTGTCTGGGATGATTTATTTGGGGCTGGTCCTGCTTTGAGCAGGGGTTTGGGCTAGATGTGACCTCCTGAGGTCCCTCCCACCCTCATTTCCTATGGTTCTGTCATTCTGTGTAGGTGCCTAAAGTCCCATTGAAATCATTGGGTACCAAGGTGCCCAAATACCTTCAGGATTTGGTCATAAATGACTCATTTGATTACCCCCCGCAGCAGGCTGTCATGGAGCAGAGAATGGGACCAGGGTCTCGTTTATCCCAGGTCATTGCCTCCACATCGTGGCAACTAGGCCCTGCTCAGCACCTGCTTCCCCCCTGTGCTGTGCCACGTGCTCTGAAGGGAACAAATTGGATACGACAGACCCTTGGAGACAAAGCCACTTCCAAAGGGAAAGCAGGGAAAAAATCACTAGTTGCAATATAATTTATACATAAGACTGTAATGGGAGGGGCTGAACCATCCAAATGGCCCATAAGGCCCATTCTATAGGGAATTCACTCTTTCAAGGATGAATTTGCAGTGAGAACTTAATGCCTTTACCGCCAAAAGAGGGTGTTTGTTACTTCAGGGTAACTGAGTGATCATGCCCCCAGGTGACAGCACAGGGAAGACCAGGCACTTGAGTTTTCCCTTGAGGCAACTCCAGCAAGGTCTAGGTTGTGCTGGAGGTGGGGAGATAGGGCTGCCACGGGCAAGTGTACCTCCCGGTGACATTCAAATGCCTTGCCCTCCCCACGGGTTTCTGTCCTGGCAAGCTGGTGGGTTACTGCCCTGGCTTCATACCACAGCATGTGCAGCCGCGAGGATGAGCTCCGCGCAGCCGGCTGCAGGAGCTCTGCTGCGTGGGCTGCACTTGCCTGTCAGCATTTGCAGTGCTTAAAAGCTTCGATCCGGTTCCCTGGGGCTTGTCTGGCTGGGATTCTGGCAGCAACAACAGCCCCAGAGGCTGGCTTGTGGCTTTTTCTAATATGCTTAAGGATTTCCTTTTGAGCGAGTGTGATGCTGCTGACCTGCAGCATCAATATCCATCTTGAATTCACAGCGGGGCCTGACACAGAGAGGCAAGATCAGGGCAAACTCAGCCTGCTCCACACCGCTTCAGAGCTTTCTCATGTTGCAATCTTCCGAGATGAACCTCGGGATGGGAGTTTCTGGCTCGCTCTGTGTTTGGGGTTTGTTTTTTTTTCAATGAAGTCTACTCTGCAGT